CAAATGTCAGAAATAAATTTTAAAAAATTCTGGTAATGATGCAGTACGAGTCAAAACGAATTCTCAAATTCGTACCGGTTCTATTATGCCCAGTACCGGTAGTATTTATAGAGCTTTTATTATAGAACCAGTACGATTCGCTGATCTGCAACATCGTACCGTACCGGTTTTCTATCTACCCCTATTCTATTTTTGTCTGTCTATCATTGATAAATACTGAATATAAAATGCGATATGGAAACTGCATCTTTTTTTAAAATAATTATAACTTCAATTTATTTTATATTAATTAAATGAGTAAGGTATGTTCTAAAAAAGTGTGGGAACAAATATTTTTGTTTTGATAATTTGAAAAGTTAAACAAATAAGAAAGTCAATTAGTATGGTTGATAGAACCAACATGTTTAGTTTAATTTTTTTTAGGATGACCGGCAAAATTAGAAGCAACGATTAATTGTCCAAACTAACTTCAAATGTTATAACCTTTTTGGCAATAATGTACTTACAAATTCTAAGAAATAATTATTGTCGTAAATTATTCGATACAAAAATGAGGATAATCTCATTTATGGTTTATTTATTTGTATTTTTAAAAGGAAGATTGTAATTCAATAAGTCATCTATTAAAATTAAGTTTTTGGGAAGGTTTCTTTTTTATTTTCATCAAATTTTCTATTCTTTCTTAGAAGCGAATCATTCTCTCTTTGATAAATGTGAGAGATTTTCAGAAGCAGTAAGAGGATAAAAAAATAAAATAAATTTTGCCCATTCGAATATTGATTTTCATAATTTGAACTTCGAAACGTAGCGAATAAATTTTTCTAAATAAATAAAATTAAAAAAAAAAATTTTTGATATTTCAATGTGAACTATTTAATTATTAAAATTTAAATTACTACTTAACGTTAGTTAATACACTATCACAAGTTTGACAAGTTTGCATCAATTTGTTCGATCTCTCAATTTATTACTTTCCAATATTCAAATTCAAAGCGGGCGTTATTACAAGTATAAAAATTAATACCTCATCAATTGGGGAGGTTTTGCTATTAAAATAACGTTGCGGATCATATAATTTACTATGTACGTAACTCGTTTTTAATAGCAAATCTCCAATTATTAAAGAATATTCATATGAAAAAAAATGTTTCCGTTGTGTCCCAAAAAAATTGGTCCGTGTCAATACATTTTTAACTTTTATTATCGCAAGAAAAAAATAAAGAAAGAGGAGCTTCTAAAAGACTATTTTGTAAATTTATAAATTGCTTAGATGACATATTTTTGATTTTTATGATCTTTTGTTTCAAAAGTTCTTTTATCATATATACAGTCAAAACTCGATATATAACAATGTGTCCGGAAATTCTTGAAAAATATCGTTACACCCAAATTATACCCATATTTATATGTTCGTAGGGAAAAAACAAGTTTAAAATAAAAATAAAGAGACTTAGATTTTTAACATTACCATATTTTTTCATATGATCCTTGGGGACGACAAAATCCGCAATTTTAGTGCTATTAATCATATACATGACATGATACCAGTAAAATTCTTCTTCTTTGGATTCAGAAGGAACGGAGAAAGTAATTGAAGCCAAAAGGGTAACTATCAAAAAAATGGTGGCTGAAAATTTCATTTTTGCTCATCAAGGTAAGGAAGGTTATATGAAAGAATATTTTTTTTTTTTTCGGAGATGAATCCTTTATCAAGGATTAGAAGTGAAGAACAGATTGAAAGTTTTTTTTTTTCATTTCGGAATTATATTAATTCATTAAAAAAAGAATTCATAACACTTCATCTGTTAAATTCCATAATTTTTTGATTATCGGTAAAATTTTATTATGATCACAAATTTACTCGACTCGAAATAAATTATCACAAGATAGTGATCATCATTTATTTACTTTCTAAAAAAAGGAAAAGTGGTTTATGTACCTATTATGCAAAATTGTCGTAATCAATATATTATTTTATTATTATAAATAATAAGAGAAAAGTCAAAAAAAAGTTAATTTGAAAAGGTCTATAAAAAAGATTCAAAATCGTAAAATGTAAACTAATCCCTCCTTTCTTTTCTTTTCTTTTATGTATTTATCTGCACATAAAGCAACTAAGAAACTTAGAATCTCATTATACACCTTACATCGTTGGCTAAAGTAAGGAAAAATCACTGCTACTTTTAACGTTTATATCATTCAAGTTACATTGCTCATCTCTGATTTTATTATTATTTTCAATTTTTTTGTGATATCAGGTACGAATGGAACTATTGTATCAAGATATAATTGCAATAAAATAGCTGTATTATCGTTATATCTTGATTCATTGATACATTGCCGCTTTTTTTGAAAGTCGTGCTCGAAATTCATACCCCATCTTTAATTATTAACAATATCAAATTACTTTCAATAAATTGACTTAAAATCGAGCTCAAAACAAAAAAAAAAAATATAAAGATATTTATGTTTGTTTAAGAATTTATTTCTATATTATCAAAAAAAATCTGGTACTCACCTTTACAATATATCTTTCATTCTTCCAGAGCTGACTTTCCAAAATGCCGATAACACCACCAACACCAACACCACCACCACCACCACCACTACCACCACCAAAAAGGGTTCCTCTACACTTGAGTTTCTAGTGTCAAGCAAAAAGAGGACCTCCAATGGTAGAAACAACACCTCAGCTCCCGATTTCCAACCTATGAACTCATCAGTGATATCAGGTCAAGAATTAATTTCAAATACAAAGGACTGCAAACCTACTGGAACAATCATGCGAAGGTCTTGTCAGAGAGATTGTGGCTACTCATCATGATCGATTATGCAGGTTCATCTACAAATTCCTCAAGCACGAATTCTCACTCAACTTTACAATACTCGTGGTTCTCTTTGACGATTCAACAACCGACAGTCATGAGCTGTCCGAAGATATCCTTGCCATCAACGTCTTCATCTGCAGATTGCAAGGAAGAAGAGCAGCCAAACACAGA